CAGAGAGAACTTAAATCAATAATGCTTAACAATTCAGGGGTCTTATATTAAACCCAGCAAACTCCATTTGAGTAACATTTTCAGAAATTAAAAAATATTCTTTCAAACCGTTTCACAGTAGGCTAGAGCGCGCTTCTAGCGCGAAGAAATTCAAAATAAGTAAGTGTTTTATTTCGACCAAATTAAGGGAATTTTGAATTCTTTAATATCTGTAGATAATGAAACATCTTTAAATTACCTTCAAATCTGTTGAATTTTTATCAGGTAACCATTCAAAGTTTAGGAATTATACTTACTTGCTTCCTGTTGATAAATTGCGCGTAAAGGTATTGCTTCTCTTACAATGTTTATTATTAATTTATTCTTACTTGTTGACTATAATTGTATTAAATATTGACATACGTTATGGCTGGAACGAATAATGGTTAGTTTTTATTATTATTGTACTGTCACTACCTTAATAAAGTAACCGCTGCATACTTTTAATGTATGTATGGACATTATTAAGGTTTTAAAAAATGTCACTCACTGTCACACTTTGTGTTTAGGTTTTTTAAATAGCTTACCGTTCTGTCTTTCAAATAAATCTTAAATCAAGTGCTAGTAGGCGCAACAAATATGGTTTGTTTATTTTTTCAGTTAATACATTATCCCTAACTCATACAGAGCTTTGTGAAAAGTGTTTTAGTTTGAAGAATTTCAATATAAAATAAGTTTTAAATTACTTAGTAGACTACCCATTTTCAAAAATAGAAGTATCTCGAAAAAAAAAATTATTCAAATTTTTTTTTTAATAAAAAAACGCTGGAAGCCCAGAAGAAATATCATTGTATTAAATATTGTCATACATTGGTGATGGAAACCATCAATTAAAAAGCTAATAATAACAATTAATAATTTTTAATTAATTACTGATAACTATTAGTGAATATTAATACTTTTTGCCACCACCGCGGTAGGCTAGAGAGCGCTTCCAGCGCGCGAAAATTTAAAATGAGTAAGTGTTTTATTTCGACAAAATTTAGTGAATTTTGAATTCTTTAATATCTGTAGCAAATCAAATAATTTTATATCAACTTTAAATCTGTTGAATTTTTATCAGGTAACCAGTCAAAATTTAAGAATTATAATTACTTGCTTTGTGTTGGTAAATTGCGCGTGAAGGTTTTGCTTCTCTTACAATGTTAATTCCTAAATTATTTTTAATTTTTGACCATCATTGTATTCAATACTGTCATACGTTATGGCTGAAACAAATAATGGTAAGTTTTTATAATTATTGTACTGTCCCTACCTCAATAAAGAAAGCGCTGCATATTTTTTATGTATGTATGAACAATACTAAGGTTTCAAAAAATGTCACGCATTCTCACACTCTCTGTTAAGTGTTTTTAATAGCTTTTAAATTCTTTTAAATAAATCTAAAATCAAGTGCTAGTAGGCGTCACAAATATTTTTTGTTTGAAGCATTTTAATAGAAAGTTGCATTTAAATTACTTAGTAGACTATGCATTTACAAAAGTAAATGGATCTCGGAAAAAACTTAATTCAAAAATTTATTTTCTTTCAAAAAATATAGAAAAACGCTGAAAGCCCAGAAGTAATATTATTGTATAAAATACTGTCATACGTAACAATTAGGTTTTATTTTTATTTGTATAGTTCAGTCATATTTTTGTAATTTACTCATTAAAACTATAGATCTTAATTTTGCCATCACACAAATATACTTTTGTTAAAGTATTATATTGTCGATTTGTTTTTCTATTGGTAGTAAAAAGTAATTTTAATTAAAATTTTATCAATAAGACCAAAAAAATTAACATTAACTAAGAATTACTTAACCAAATAATTTCTTCGCGTTAAATTGGCTCTCTAGCCCACTGTGCGTTTCCTTAAAAAAATATACCTAGTAATATAGGCAATAATATAATTTATGATAAACGAAAATGTTGATAAATGTGATGGAATTTGCTAATAAAAAATATTGAACTGCTGTGTTTTATATATTTATTTATTGATTTATTTTTTCAAGGCACAGTTTTATTTGTTAAACGAAACATAAAACGTACTTACAATTATTATAACAATTATTAAAAGTATAAAGTAAGGTAAGATAGGTCTGATATGTCATCAGTTTTTTTGGTTGGTCCTAACGGATCTTTTATAGACTAAAATGTAAAATGTAAAATGGTAGTGAGCGTTGACAATAATAAACCTTAAATTATAGAACGCTTAAATATAAAAGTTTTTATTTGTTTACAGATAACTTTTAAATGTGTATGCTATAATTAATTGCCTTAGTTTTAAGTGTTGATGACAATATATACCGCTTGAAGATATAAATAATTTGTATTACATATTTTAATTTTCTAATAAAGTTTTTTTTTATTACAACCGTTTTTGGATGTTTCAAAGAAAACTAAAACGGTAATTTTAAAGTTTAGTATAATTAATTACATTTTTTATTAAAATACGAAATGTATTAAAATCAAAATTATACCCTATGGGACAAATTAATGAAAAAAGTTAATTAAAAAAGTCATTAATATTTCTGAGGAAGAAGTAAAATTACTTTAATTGCCACACAAAACTTTTTAGACATATAGCAACCCTATAGGGTTTCTGGGTCCCGGGACCTGGGAGACTTCCGGAACTTCTCTAAAAGGTCCAGGTCCTGAAAATAGTCCGTAAATTTTAAAAATTGGTTATATAAATGTAACCAATGTCAATTAAAACATATACGTGAAAATTTATCCCATACCATCAAATAAACAAATTTAAATAAAATATATTTTATATCTATTTTATTATTTAAAACATTTATAAGAGTAATGTTTTGCTCAATAAATTTTGTTAAAACTACTTTTAGATATTGTTTTGGGATTTATTTAAATGTTGTAAGTGAACACATAATACTTTAACACTGGATTTAAAAGAGTGTATTAACAAAAGTTGAAAGTTAAAAAAGTACTGTTAAAGCCATTTATACTAACTAAAGTTTAATTTGTATAGAAAAAAATAACAAAAGTTTTTATATTGCAGTAATAATACCTAATAATTGTACTGAATAAATAAGATTTTGTTTTAAAAGCTTTAATTCTTATTTTATTTATTAGGATAATTATTTATTAATAATGACTTTTAAAGTAAATTTGATTATAAAAATCGTAAATACATATAAAGCATATTTATAATTTAGGACTCAAAAATATTAAAAAATGTGCTTGACAATTACAATTCTTATGGATAAAATTTATACAAAAAATACGGTGTTAATGGTTTTATAACATTAAAAAGGTTTAAACTGTCAACGAAGTTTGGTTTTCTATAAAAAACGCATATGTTTTTTAATATTTTGATATTAAATATAAATATAAATATAAATTTTATATTTTAAATCAAAAATAAAATAATTATGGTGTTATTTTGTCCTCTTCTTAGAAGAATTGTTCAAAAAATTGTCCAAAAAAGTCACTTTTTGGCTTTGGTACACAAATAACCATTTTTTCTTAATTAATGTACTTTCTGTCCACGATAAGTTGGTGGACCGAAGGAATTAAGTTATTTAGTTATTAAACAATTGTCGTGTAGTATGCTTTTAAAACGTATTTTTTATAAATAATAATATTATATAATTTTTATATATAAATAATATTAAAAACATAACTGAGTAGGTATGTTTTTTTAATATTATTTATCTAAACTGCATGAACATTCCTTTGCTCCGGCAACTTATAATGTAAGTATTATTTTAATGGATAAAATAAAGTTTATTTAATTTCGAATCAATCGTTAAATATATGTTTCAAATTTTTAAGATTGTGTTTGATTTAAGTTAGTAAGCTAGCCTAGAATTAAAAATTCAAAATATATTACATATGAGTACTCTCTTAAAATGAATTAGTCAAAAATAACTAATTATAAGTCATATTTGACTAATTGTTATAGCGAAAAAGCAGTCACTAATAATTATTATTGGTCAAATTCTACTGAATGAAATAGTCAAATTAGTAGATTTAAATTTAAAAAAGTTTTGACCCAGCCTGGGATTGAACTCAGGTCTGCCGTTTGTCAAGCTTTTCAGCTGTTGTCATAACTAATGTGGCTACCAGTCACTTTTGTAAAAATCAATTTTATTTGTCAATAAATATTGTTCATAATATTTTAAAGTTAAATATATTATTTGTGTTGCTGTTTTGAGCTAAACTTTTTGAATCTTTGTTTGTTTTTATGGGCCATTTAACCATGGAGCCTATATGCAAATAAAATCAAATAATTTATAATATTTAAAAACTTAAAACAGAGGCAAAACTGGGTATTTGTTTCTTCCTGTCGGATGCAAAACTCGGTATTTGCTGTCGACCAATCACGTCGCTATTATACGCATTACATGATGACATAACAATCACCTGATAAATTGTATTTTTTTTGGTATTTGCACTTTTCACTTGCAAAACTTGGTCTTTGAACCAGGAAGATGCAAAACTGTATTTTTAAATCTTTTGATTTAAATTATTTACTAAATTACCTAATTTTAAAGGATTTGTTTTACTTTTTTGAATAAAAATGATGCAAAAGCACGTCTATACAATTTTTGTATTTTTTTTTCAAAAATGATCTTATGAGCGGTTTTTCATGTTTTTCTTAAAATCACTTATCCTGTAAATACAGAGTTGTGCATCTAATGTACTATTATTACATATCGGTAACATCACCAATGTCAAAAATTTTGACCAAAAATTATGAATCCTTTTTATTTACAATAATTGAAATATTCAAGTAATATTTATACCATATTGTAGATAAATTATTAATTTTAACAAAAATTAACCTTAAAAATACAATTTATTAACTAACTCTAAGCATATGGTTTTAATATAAAAAATAAATACATTTTTATTAATAAGCATGATAAATTTTCCAACAAAAACAACCACCCTATCTATAAATCCAAGTTGAAAAAACGCTTCTCTATAATGTTAACCTAACTGTTCCAGATACTTGCTGTGCATCAAGCCGAAACGTTCCCGTTGCAACACATGCCAGGGTCAGCATACCACGCAAATGTCTCTCGTTTCCACAAAGAGGCAGCAATCGGTGTGCGGCGTTCGGAAAGGAGGACAAGGCGTCTCGATTAACCGGCGCCCGCTCGAGCCGCCGTTGATCACGCAGGAGACTTCCGTCGCGCTGCTGCTTAACAACGGAGAAGAGCACATGTGCAGCAAGATATAAGGGGACTAACTGCCTCTTTTTTACGTTTTTAACTTTTTTTCCTGGAAAAAGGTGAGTTTCGTTGTTATCCATCTTATGGCCACACAGGTTTATTTTTCATAACTGGCTTGCACCGTAAATTAATCTTTGTTTAAATACCTCTAAACTACTGTTAAAATAAACCCCCAATTTCGGGTGTTTAAATTACTTTAATCCACCGTCAACGATTTATAACCTCAAAAGTACTAGTCATCGATATTCAAGATCTTTTTTCCAAAGATATTATTTATTGACATCTTTAGCAAATCCCATAACTATAATTATAGGTATAGAGATCAGCAACTCTACAGGGTGTTATGTAATTAATGTTATATATTAAAATGGGTAGTTCCTTAGGGTCCATAAAGAAGCACCTGAAACTTTTTTTTCTAAATTCCAAAGACTAATAATACGCTTTATCCTATCAAAAAGTACGCCACTGATCGACTAGGAACCGCGAATTAACCTTACCTATTACTTTTTAATGCAGTGTTGCCAAATGTAAAATTAAAAATCAGCATCTTCTTGATTTTTCTGTATATACCAATGGCAAAATTCCAACCGCAGTGCATAATCTCCATCCTGAAGAGCTTGAACTTTTTGTAGGTGATAGGGGTACAGACTATTTTCGTGAATCGTGCGCCACGTAACAAAGTTGGACATTTGTTCAAGTTGGGCAGTTAATCGTCTTGTACTAATTCTCGGATTTGCTTCCACTTCTTCCAAAATTTGCTCTTCAAGGGCCACAAATTCTCGTCCCTGAGCCCGACCCCTATCACCAACAAATGCGCTAAATCTTCCGCGGTCCCTTAAATTTTGCACAGCACGTACAAAACTTACTTTGCTCCGAGGGCGGTGGATGTCCTTCATTGGCGTTGTGATAATTTTGAATATACCTACAAAATTCTTGCTTGACGAGCATTTTGCATCGCTTCCCCGTAACACAAAACCATATTTGTTAATTGAATATTTGTGAGCGCCCGACCCGCCATGGTATTAAATCTTTCGCACTAATTACTTATTATTATTACTAATAAAATACAAATTTTCTCACAAAGGTTATAAAAGAATAAAATCCTGAAAAAACTTGAACAAAAATAAAAACCTGAAATCGCTAGATCACTAATTAGACCTTGTAAAAATTTGTAAACTAATGATTTTTTAAAAATCGTTTTAACATTGTGATTTAAAAACATAAAAAATATATTTAAATTTAGACACACCAGATTTAAACTTTATTCATAATTTGTAATGATTTACTTTACTTTAAGTTAATCTGGTTTAATTTATTATGTTATGGTTGGTAACACATTCTGTCAAAAAATTGTAGGTTATGTGCTCAAATTGTAAATATCTTAACTAAGGGAAGTGCTTTCAGTTCGGTTTTGGTTCTCGTGTCGTCGGTTGCTGTATGAAAGAGTATTTGAAAAATAAGTGACTTCTCGACCCAGGAGAGGCAAAATCGGATTCCCAGTGTAAAAACAAACTGGTTTTAATCAAGAATTAGCAAAAATATATGGAAATAATTAAGAGATGGATCGGGTGATTGAAGATTAAAGATAATTGGAAAATTCTATGTATGAAGCCATGTGTACATAGTGAAGCGAAAAGATGACATGGTTCTATAAAATTTGATAAATAATTAACAATATATAAATGATTCAAGGTATGAGTTAATCTCAGATTCTTTTAAATAAGACCCATTGATCATAATAAAGATAATTTTAATAATATAATGTGCTGGCCAAATAGCTTATAAATTAAGCTAAAGGTCATTCCTCTGAACACAGAATTGTGTTCAGAATTAAGAAGAAGAAGAAGAAGAAGGAAAGTGCTTTTGTGCGTTTGGATTTATTTACACAAATTAAATGTTTAACGATTAACCTGTGAACTTGTCCTAATTTCATCTGAGTAAACAGAAAGAAAAAAACCGATGAAAAAAATTTTATGGAGATTTTAAATTGGTACTAATTTTTCTTATCATTGCTTAAGTTAATAGCTGGATGAGTAAATAAATACAGAATGGTATTAGAGCTTTAAGGGCATAAAACTTTTGTATTTATTGAGTTTTTATTTATTTTATGCAAGAAAATTTGTTAGTAACAATTTTTTACAACTGGCAACGCGCAGCTACTTTGTTGGTTTGTATATATGTACTCACATACACACAAGTGTGTAACCAGTGGCGTATCACAAAAAATATAAAAAACTTCTAATGCATTTATTTTCTTTATCTTTGGGAAAATATCTTTTAAAATATTTTTCCATTACACCTTATGTCAAAAGGTATTCAGTATTTTAATATATAACATTAATTACATAACACCCTGTATAATGAGTCACTACTAAGAACCGGAAATATAATACAAAGAGTATTTGAAATTTGGAAAAGAAGGTTTCCAGTGTTGACATATGGCTTAAGCAGGGCCGAGCCGTGCCGGGGGTGCAAGGGGTGCATGGCACCCGGGCGGCACTAACACAGGGCGGCAAAATATCATAAAAAAATTGTATCATATTATCAAGAATAAAAAAGCCACCTTGCAATATGCAAAAAACTTTCTAAACATTACTTGCGTTTTATTGATGTCGGCGTTTCATAAAAACAATGCCAAAATTGTGCTGTCAGGCGGCAATGATAAAAAAGACATAACCGAACGCGCGATAGCCACAAAAAATGATAATGGCAATTTTGTTAAAGCCCGGTTTATAGATTGCCGCCCGCCCGCTTCGCTTTCCGTCCGTCCGCTTCGAGTTCGTCAAGTTTCATGTTTTACGGAAGCGGGCTTACGGGAAACCAATCAAATCGCGCGCTGTGTACCACGTGATATTGTTTACAAGCTGAACTGTTAAGTTAAAGCAGAGATAACCCTATCTCTGGTTAAAGCATAATTTCTTCCGATTTAACGGTTGCGTATTTCAGCAATTTTTAGTTTTTCTATTAACGTGAGGCAAATAGGATGCAAACATAGTAGTTTCTTTTGTCTTTTAATGCGTTTAAGTTAAAAACTAGTTAATGATTTAAAAGGCATCTTTCCGAATTTATTTGTAGCTTTTAGAATATTTTTGACGATGCCCATGGAGAGCGGTCATTTTCGAAATTAAAACTAATTAAGACCTATTTAAGATCCAATATGAGTCAATTTAGGCTTTCAAATTTAGCAATTATAAGTATTAAAGAAGATATTTCTAACAACTTGGATGTAGGCGACTTGATTAGGGAATTTGCTATTAAAAAAGCGAGAAAAGTAGATTTTAGTTTTTTAGTTTAGTTTAATTATTTTTGTTTTTTTTTCCTGAATGTATTTTTATTTTATTCTTTTAAGTATTTGTTAATAAATACTTATTATTTACTATAAAATTTGTTATATATATAAACATATATATAAACATATGTTTATTGAGAATGATAAATTATGAACTCCTTCCCTACCGACAACCTAATTTTTTACATCAATGGGGGCGGCAAATTTAATTCTTGCACCCGGGCGGCAGATACCCTAGGCTCGGCCCTGCAGGGCCGAGCCGTGCCGGGGGTGCAAGGGGTGCATGGCACCCGGGCGGCACTAACACAGGGCGGCAAAATATCATAAAAAAATTGTATCATATTATCAAGAATAAAAAAGCCACCTTGCAATAAGCAAAAAACTTTCTAAACATTACTTGCGTTTTATTGATGTCGGCGTTTCATAAAAACAATGCCAAAATTGTGCTGTCAGGCGGCAATGATAAAAAAGACATAACCGAACGCGCGATAGCCACAAAAAATGATAATGGCAATTTTGTTAAAGCCCGGTTTATAGATTGCCGCCCGCCCGCTTCGCTTTCCGTCCGTCCGCTTCGAGTTCGTCAAGTTTCATGTTTTACGGAAGCGGGCTTACGGGAAACCAATCAAATCGCGCGCTGTGTACCACGTGATATTGTTTACAAGCTGAACTGTTAAGTTAAAGCAGAGATAACCCTATCTCTGGTTAAAGCATAATTTCTTCCGATTTAACGGTTGCGTATTTCAGCAATTTTTAGTTTTTCTATTAACGTGAGGCAAATAGGATGCAAACATAGTAGTTTATTTTGTCTTTTAATGCGTGTAAGTTAAAAACTAGTTAATGATTTAAAAGGCATCTTTCCGAATTTATTTGTAGCTTTTAGAATATTTTTGACGATGCCCATGGAGAGCGGTCATTTTCGAAATTAAAACTAATTAAGACCTATTTAAGATCCAATATGAGTCAATTTAGGCTTTCAAATTTAGCAATTATAAGTATTAAAGAAGATATTTCTAACAACTTGGATGTAGGCGACTTGATTAGGGAATTTGCTATTAAAAAAGCGAGAAAAGTAGATTTTAGTTTTTTAGTTTAGTTTAATTATTTTTGTTTTTTTTTCCTGAATGTATTTTTATTTTATTCTTTTAAGTATTTGTTAATAAATACTTATTATTTACTATAAAATTTGTTATATATATAAACATATATATAAACATATGTTTATTGAGAATGATAAATTATGAACTCCTTCCCTACCGACAACCTAATTTTTTACATCAATGGGGGCGGCAAATTTAATTCTTGCACCCGGGCGGCAGATACCCTAGGCTCGGCCCTGGGCTTAAGATTAAAACTAGATACAGTTTTGTCCATTATTCCAGCTGCAGCTGTACTACATAATATTGCTAGAGATATGAATAAACCAGAGCCGCCATTGCCTACTGATTTAATGCCATGAACTGTTGTTACTCATCCACAAGATCGCATTAAGTTTAAAAATAAATTAATACAAGATTATTTAGCGAATTTATAAAATGTAATGTTTTATTTAATTTATACTTATTTAAAATTAAAATAATTAGTCACTTCTTGTTTATTATTAGAGTATATAAGTTTTTCTTTTTCTTCTAAAATTTTTCAATCCGAAAGAGTCATTTCTTTTTCATCCTTTTTATTGTTAATTTCCTGCTCTAATTGTTTTATCCCTATCTGTCTCTTTGTTTTAAATGAAACCCTTATATCCATAAGATTAATTAAATGTTTTTTTTT